ATTTCAGAAAAGAAAATACAGATACAAAAATGACATACAGGAAAGCTGCTCAACATCATTAGTCATTAGGAAAATGAAAATAAAAACCACAATGAAGGCCGGGTGCGGTGGCTCACGCCTGTAACCCTAGCACTCTGGGAGGCCGAGGCGGGCGGATTGCTCGAGGTTGTGAGTTCGAAACCAGCCTGAGCGAGACCCCGTCTCTACTAAAAATAGAAAGAAATTAATTGACCAACTAAAAGTATATATACAAAAAATTAGCCGGGCATGGGACTACAGGCATGTAGTCCCAGCTACTCGGGAGGCTGAGGCAGGAGGATCACTTGAGCCCAGGAGTTTGAGGTTGCTGTGAGCTAGGCTGACGCCACGGCACTCACTCTAGCCTGGGCAACAAAAGTGAGACTCTGTCTCAAAAAAAAACAAAAAACCACAATGAGATACCATTTCACATCCAGTTGAAATAAAAAGAGTGACCATACCAAGTGTTGACAAGGATGTGGAGGAACTGGAATTCACATACGCAGCTTGTGGGGATGAAAATGATACAACCACTTTGGAAAACAGTGTGGCAGTTCCTTAAAAAGTTAAATATACACCTATCATATGACCTAGATTTTGCACTCCTAGGTATTTACCCAAGAGAAATGAAAGCATATGTCCACACAAAGACTTGTACACTAACGTTCCTGGGCACCTTTATTTGTTGTAGCCAAAAACTGGAAACAACCCAGTGTCAGTCAACAGGTAAACTACAACAAATTGTGGTTATTTCCAAATACTGCAACACTGCTCAGCAATAAAAGGAATGAACTGCTTATTCACACAAATGACATGGATGAATCTCTCAAGAGCTGACCTCAGTGAAGAAATCCAGAAATAAATAAAAGAGTACATTCTATTTGATTGCTTTTATATAAAATTCTATAAAATGCTAAATAACCTATAGTTACAGGTTAGTGGTTGCTTGAGGATGAGAGGTGGGAGAATTGGAGGGAATGATCATAAAGGGCAGCAGGAAGCTTTTTGAGGATGTTGGATGTGTTCATTAACTTGATTGTGGCAATGCTACATGGCAGAACTTATAAAATTGTATTATATATGGATTATATATGTAGTTTACTGTATGTCAATTGTATCTCAGTAGTTTTTATAAAAAATTATGAACACTGTTTCTGAGAGAACGACTAACAAGGCCTTTAGCACTTCCTCTGCATAACCCCCCCCCCATCTGCTGCTTGCCTGATTAGATGGGGAAGTTTAGGCACCCAGGAATCATGGCATCTCATGGAGTTGCCCATCTTCCTCTTCAGTGTAGCTAGAAAGGCATAGAGCGGCAGTAAACCCCTATAAATGCCCCCCTCGCCACACCTTTTTTCCCGGCTTATATGTACCTTCTAGGAGACACCTTCCTAGGAATGTGTTTGCTTTTCCTTTCAGCTGGTTCACCACAAGTATTCTTACCAGTTTCCCTCCAACTTGGAGAGCTGCTGCCCATACCTTGAGCAAATAGAACTAAAACTCATTGTATCAGTTTCCTAAGAATGCTGTAAGAAATTATCATAAACTTGATGGCTTAAAAACAACCAAAATTTATTCTTTTCCAGTTCTGGAGTCCAGAAGTCCAAATCATGGTATTGGTAGGGCCAGCTTCCCTCTAGAGGCTCTGAGGGAGTATCCATTCTTGTGTCTTTTAGCTTCTGGTAGAAGGTGTTCCTTGGCTCATGGCTTGTATAACTCTAATGTCTATCTCCATCTTCACATAGCTTTCCCCCTCTGTCCAATCTCCCTCTGCCTTTCTCTTATAAGTACTACTGTCATTGGATTCAGGGCCCACTGTAATTCCAGGATGATCCCATCTTGAGATCCTTAATTACACTGCAAATGTGATTCTTTTCCCAAATAAGCTCACATTCACAGGTTCTGGGGGTTAGGACTGGGACATATGGATGGGGGTTCAATTCACCACAGCCATCCACATCTTCAGCTTTCCACGGATAGGTTCAGGGTAAGGCATGTGCCATTATTATAGGATCTGGGATATATGGACAGAGACTCCTTGGGATCTAGGAGTGTTTTAGCCTATGAAGTCTTTTTGCTTGGGCCTCTCTGATATCCAGTCATTTCTCAGAAAGAAATGATCTGACCTCTTTTACCCTACTCTTTTGCTATGACAGCTCATAGCCTTAGGGCCATGCATACATAGCCCAGTTAACTTGGCAGATGGCTACTGAACTCAAGGTCTTACCAGTAGACATGGGTCTTGGAAGGAAGTAGCATTACTAATCTGTGCCAAGATTTCCACTTTAACCTCCACAAAGATATTATGAGTTGGGTCTTAGTCTTTTCATTTTATATATAGATGAGAAAACTGGTTAACGAACTTTCATCATTTGCCCAGTCTCCCATAGCCAGTAAGTTCAAGGCTAGGATTTATACAGAGATCTCTTCGCTCTGAAACCTAACACTGTTACCATATAGGATTTTGTTGCTATATAGTACCCGGGCCTACGCCCAGGGAAGATGAGTGATCCAGGGCCTTGAGTAGAAACTGTGCTTCCACTCAAGATCATGTTTCCCTCTGGTAATGGCCATGTAGTTATTAAGTAACTTGTTAGTGGCACAAGAGTGGCACCCAGTGGCTCCATGTAAAACTACAAGATCAAGGATGACCTCTGGGCCATTCCCTCAGTTTCCATTTCTAAACAGGAAAGGTAGAATCGCTGACCTCTTGGTTAATAGAGAATAAAGCGATCTATAGCTATTATATAGTTTGTTGAGAAATGAAAGAACATGTATTTCGAGTTTTATAGAATTTATTCAGGGAAAGGTTGTACAGGAATGGAGTTTCTTTTTTTAGAGATAGTCTCCTTCTGTCTCCCAGGTGGAATGCAGTGATGTGATCTAGCTCACTGTTGCAGCCTTAAGCTCCCGGACTCAAATGGTCCTTCCAAATCAGCCTCTCAAGTAGCTGGGACTGCAGACATACACCACCATGTGCCTGGCTAATTTTTGTAGAGATAGGTTCCCACTGTGTGGCTCAGACTGGTCTCAAACTCCTGGCCTTAATCAATCCTCCCACCTAAGCCTTCCAAAGTGCTGCAATTATAGGCATGAGCCACTGTGCCTGGCCTATTTGTTGTTGTTTTTCAAGAGATTGGGGTTTTGCTATGTTGCCAAGGCTAAAGTGCATGGCTGTTGGCAGGTGCAATCATAGCACACCATAGCCTCAAACTTATGAGGTGGACAACTAAATATATATAGAAAAAATTAGCCAGACATGGTGGCATGTGCCTGAAGTCCCAGCTACTTGGGAGGCTGAGGCAGAAGGATCACTTGAGCTCAGGAGTTTGAGGTTGCTGTGAGCTAGGCTGATGCCACAGCACTCCAGCCCAGTGATCCTCCTGCCTCAGCCTCCCGGGTAGTTGAAACTATACGTGTATACCACCACACACAGCCAGAAGTAGAGATTTTAAGTCTGGGTGTTGGAACAGAGACAGTGGGCCAAGGAAGGAGTGAACAAGATAGTACTCTAGGGCTGTGGTCTCCAACCCCAGGGCCTTTGGACTGGTACCAGTCCATGGCCTGTTAGGAACCCAACTGCACAGCAGGTGAGTGGCAGCTAAGCAGGTGAAGCTTAATCTGTATTTACAGCCACTGCCCATCACTCACCATTTCCACCCCCATCCTCAGGTCTGTGGAAAAACTGTCTTCCATGAAACCAGTCCCTGGTGCCAAAAAGGTTGGGGACCGCTGCTCTAGGACTTAAGTATCACAGATGTGTGAAGGGACTGAGAACTTAAACCCAGAATGAGCAGGAACAGTAACAAGGAGGTAGTTTTCTAGGTGTTTCCCAAGGCTTAAACTAGAATTAAATATCCCATAAAGCGATAAATCCAAGGAGGTGTGTACCCTAAAGATAGGAGTGTCTCATCTGCAGGATCAGATGATGAATCAAGGGTGTACAAGGGTTCCATAGGACTCAGGGCTTTATATCTCAATGTGGGGAGTTCCTTGGCAAGATTAATTTCAAGATAGGAGAAAGGTTTATCACATGAGATTTTACAAGTGGAAGTATTAAAAAAATGTTTTCTCTCGGCTGGGCATGGTGGCTTATGCCTGTAATTCTAGCACTCTGGGAGGCCGAGGCAGGAGGATCGCTTGAGGTCAGGAGTTCAAGACTAGCCTAGGCAAGAGCAAGACCCTGTCTCTACTAAAAATAGAAAGAAATGAGCTGGACAACTAAACATATATAGAAAAAATTAGCCACGCATGGTGGCATGTGCCTGAAGTCCCAGCTACTTGGGAGGCTGAGGCAGAAGGATTGCTTGAGCCCAGGAGTTTGAGGTTGCTGTGAGCTAGGCTGACGCCACAGCACTCTAGCCCAGGCAACAGAGTAAGACGCTGTCTCAAAAAATAAATAAATAAAATTTTTTAAAAACCCGAATTCTTTGTCCATTCTATAACTGGGTGTTATTATTGAGTTATGAGTTCTTTATTCTGGATAAAATTACCTTAACAGATATAATTTGCAAATATTTTCTCCCATTCTTGTAGGTTGACTTTTCACTTTTGTCACAGTGTCCTTTAAAGTACAAGTTTTTAATTTTTATGAAGAGGATATCTATTTTGATACATTTGTATTCTTGAAAAGACAAAAGAGGGGCTGGAAGGATGCAGTTCTAGTTTTAGTAACTGCCTAAACTGAAACAGCTAGTGTGGCAGGGCTGACACAGCTGCAGATGACTACAGAATAAGTGACTAGAGTTCACATGATATGCCGGGAGTGGCCAGAGTGAGCTGCAGAAGGCTCCACGTAAGAAGGAAGCCTTGAGGCTGGAGGCTGAGTGGGGGGATTCATGAGTCCGGACAGTTAAAGAGGGAATTCCAGGTGAGGAAGGACAGCCCCATGAGGTTAATGAAGCTACCAGGCACACTCCTGATTCACTAGGGCTCATTAATGTTCCTGCAAAACTGTCTTAGAACTTCTAATTTTTTTTTAGCAGCTGACCCCAGAGAAAAAGGATTCAGCGCAGAGCACTGAGGATGCACGTGAAAACAGCAACCCGGTGCTCCTTGCAGGTAAGGTTTTAGCTTTTCAGGTGAGCCCTGGACTGAAGCTGGAAAAGTAAAAAACATGACATCAACTTTCAAACTATTCCACTGCAGCATTGTCCTTCTGTGACTTGGTTGGTTCCTGCTGCCACTGGGGGTCTTCCAGGCCGCAGCAGGAATTCCCTCCCTTCCCAAAGACAATATGACATGACTAGAGATTTCTGGTACAGCTTGTGCGGTTACAGATAGCTGCACATGATGGGGCGGTTATGGGTGGACAAGTAGATTCTGGGCCATGAATCCAGTAGGTTCCTTCACATCTTCTCTTGATCATTAGTGTTGACACTGCTTCTCCCCTGACACTGCATCTCCCCGTTTTGGTTACGACTGTTTTGGGCTCTAGAGGCTGCTCCTGGGTACAGCACCATCTCAACTTTGATATGTATCATGGGGAAGTATCAGTGTGTGTGGTGTGATGGCCATTATACTGAAGTCCGTTCTCCACACGTGCCCCTGCAACACATAAACAGCAGGAGGGTGACAGGAGCTCTCACCATCACTGGTGAGTGCCCTATCCTAAGTGATAGTGAGCCAGGCCCTATCCTAAGCTTTTAAAATGTATTAATGCTCAGTTCTCAAAACAGTCCTTTGAGGTATAGGTACTATTGTTATTCTCATTTCACAGAGGAGAAAACTGAGGCCCAGGGATGTCAATAAGCTTACCTACAGCCACAAGCCAGGAAATGACAGAGCCAGAATTCAAATCTGCTCTGTCTTGGGAAGAGCCACATTAGCAGGGGTGTCCTCCTGTAGGTCCTGAGTCCTTTGGACAAAATAGCATCTGGGCTTGAGGGAAGTTGGGGATTGTGACTTGAGCACCTGTGCTTTGTTGGTGCATCCCCCTTTCCAGGGTCATAAAAACACCGTGCTGCATATTGTTTATGCTTGGGCCTAAGATGTGTTCCTGAATCATTCTGTCAGTCGAACCACATTTTAAAGGTTGCGGAGCTGTTGCTACTGAAAGGAATCCTGCAGTGAAGGCTCGTATAAAGCAAAGAATCTACTTTTTAAAATTTAGATTTGGGCCTGGCGAGGTGGCTCATGCCTGTAATCCTAGCACTATGGGAGGCCGAGGCGGGAGGATTGCTTGAGGTCAGGAGTTCACCAGCCTGAGCAAGAGCAAGACCCCATCTCTACTATAAATAGAAAGAAATTAATTGGCCAAGTAATATATTTAGAAAAAATTAGCCGGGCGTGGTGGCGCATGCCTGTAGTCCTAGCTACTCGGGAGGCTGAGGCAGGAAGATCACTTGAGCCCAGGAGTTTGAGGTTGCTGTGAGTGAGGCTGATGCCACGGCACTCACTCTAGCCCGGGCAACAGAGTGAGACTCTGCCTCAAAAAAAAAAAAAAAATTTAGATTTGGATGTTTTTAAAAATGGAAGTATACCATACCACATACAAGTCAGTCTTTATGCAGTGAGGAGAGACAAAAGAATAAGTACCTCCCCCTATAAGGAAGAAAATTAACATTTAATTCAGCACCTTCTGTAGACCCTGGGAGATGCTGGGCTTTCCCACAGACCTTATGTCATTTAGTCCTTATAGTGACCTTGTGGAGTGAGCAGCACTGGTCCTCACAAATGAGACACCCACAGCGCATAGCAGGAATAGCTGAGTTTCAGCCTGCTGCCAGCCTCCACAGCCCATGCTTTCTCCACTGTGCAACGTGAGCCTCAAAATCTAGATGGAACCTCCTGGCAGACAGCTTGGGCTGTTCTGCCCTATAAACCTGCAGTTCTAACTGGCATCCATCTTATGCCCCACATGGGCAGCTCTACTGAAGAAAATCACCAGAACACTGTGTTGATGCCACCACCCATCCATGGTCCATTCACTGAGGAGCCATTGGTTTGCCAGTCCTTTCCCTTGTCTTCCGGGCCCTGTCTCCTCAGTGGCTACCCCATTCTTTTAAAAATCTACCCCACCTCTGCTCCTGACTTAGCCTCCCACTTCACACTTACTCATCTCTTTTCTCAGTAAACTCACCCACCTTGGATTCCTCCCACTGCAGAACCTTATTAGTGTGGGGACTGGTCCTCTCTAAGGCTTAGGGTAGCATTATTCTTCCTGTTTTCTCAGGACCTGCTTGTATCAGTTATCACTTCTTTACCTTTGGCTCTCCTCCAGGTTCTTTTCCCTCAGCAAGTCTATTTCCCATTTCTTCAAAAGAAAATCTCCTATGACCTTGAACTTCCTCCATGTATCCTCAATCTGTCTCCATCCTATCTCAACCAGGGTTCTTAAAAATGCAAGCTGCAGAGCCAGGGGTAGTAGTGCATGCCTGTAGTCCCACATACTTGGGAGGCTAAGACAGGAGCCTGAGGCAAGAGGACTGCTTGATCCCGTGAGTTGGAGGATGCAGTGAGCAATGATAGTGCCCCTGGACTCCAGCCTGGGTGACCCCATTAAAAAAACAAAACAACCCAAGCTGCATGCATCCTATCTCCCTTTCTTCTTCTCTCATTCTCTCCCTAACCCAGGGCACTTGCTTCCCTGTAGATTCTAAAACTGCATCACTCCTGGTGATGCCTTCACTCTCCTAGGCTCTCAAGGTTTCCTGCCTCAAATCTGATGGAAGCCACAACTTTGACAAAATGATCTTTGTAAAATACAAAATTAACTCTCTCTGCAGTGCTTAAAACCCTTCACTGGCTTCCTACTTCCTACAGATAAAACTCTTGTTTCTTAGCCTTCTCTGATTCCTATTAACCCTTTCAGATTCATCTCCCAGGATCCCCCAACTTTGTTTTTTATGTAGGATGTTGTTTTATGCCTTTATGACTGCATAAAGTTTATGTGCATAATTTTCAGCAAGGAATTCCTTTTCTTTCTCTTGTCTGGCATGTTTCTCTTTATTCCTCGAAACCCAGCTCAGGTATCTCCTCAGGGAAATCTCTCTTCGCTTTGTACACACGTCTGTGCCCCTCCTGGTACCTGAGCTTCTCTGAGCTACATTCCCAGGACCTGCGCAGGAAGAATCTATCCCTTAACTTGCACACGTGCATCACTTGAGTGTAGGAAAGCTGCCTATGGGTACTGCTCAAAGTAACTCGAGCAACAAAGGGAGAGAGGTGAGGCCGACTTGGGCAGGGGTGGGGATCACAGGCGAGAGGAAGGAGCTTGGGCAGACTCCAGGGAGAATGCTTGTGGAACGTGAATGAGTGGCGTGAGCCCTCAACTGAGGGCTCCGTACGATACCAGATGGATGTCCCTTCCCAGGCTCTGCTGTGGGGGCAGGGAGGCCCTGGAGCCATTCTGCAGCCTCCCTGCTCCTAAAGGCCCTAGAGCTGCAGGGTTTGATGTGGACAGGACCTGACGACAGGGGTGCGGACGGAGGAGCCACTCCCTCGGTGCCCTTTCTCCCAGGTTGCCCCTGCCCCCAGGGGTCTTTCTAGTACCGTGGGACTAAAATGAAGCGGGCTTGTCTTCTCCTAGAGACCAGCGGGCCAGCGGAAAACAAGAGGCCCATGAGGGGCCGCCTCCGCCAGGGCGAGAAGACGCGAACTCTCCGCTATGCTGGGGCCCCGAGCCCGTCGGAAGCCGCCCCGCGCCGCCCGGAGCCCACCGCGGCCTGCCTCACCCCTAGCGGAGGGGAGGCCCGCGCGACCCACGGCACGGCCCCGGCGCCGGGCGTGAGTCCCGGGAGTGGTCTGGAGGTAACGCGGCGAGGCCGGGAGGGAAGGGCGGGCGGGCGCCAGGCCGCTGCCGAGGGCCTCACCCCGGCCCCCTTTGCTCCCGCAGGACGCGCTGTGGCTGCAGGAGGTCTCCAACCTGTCGGAGTGGCTGAGTCCCAGCCCTGAGCCCTGAGCCGGTCCCCTCCCGCGAGTCCCGCCGCCTCCAGGCTGCCGGCGGCTGCTGTAGCGCGTCGTTCAATAAAGCTGCTCCGCGCCACCGCGTGCGCTTGCGTGTCGGGGGCGGGGCGGGGCCACGCGCCGCCCGGCGTCACCCGCGCTTCCGCGGGGCCACGTCACTGGTGCGCGCCGCGGGTGCGGACGCGATGGCGGCGCTGGGCGGGGACGGGCTGCGCCTGCTGTCGGTGTCGCGGCCGGAGCGGCAGCCCGAGTCGGCGGCGCTGGGCGGCCCGGGCCCTGGGCTGTGCTGCTGGGTGTCCGTGTTCTCCTGCCTCAGCCTCGCCTGCTCCTACGTGGGCAGCCTCTACGTCTGGAAGAGCGAGCTGCCCAGGTGCGGGGGCTGCGCGCGGCCGGATCCCGCGCCCCCGAGAGGCGGGGCTGGGGCGGAGCTCGGGCGAGCCGGGGGCGGGGCCGCACTGACAGGCGGCCGCGGGCCCCCTGAACTTACTGCTCCTCCTCAGGGACCACCCCGCTGTCATCAAGCGGCGCTTCACCAGTGTCCTGGTGGTGTCCAGTCTCTCGCCCCTCTGCGTGCTGCTCTGGAGGGAACTCACGGGCATCCAGGTGCGAGGGAGGCGGGGCAGAGGGCACCTGGAGAGAGCTCGGGGTCTTGGGGGGAGGGAGCAAGACTGATGCCTCCTTTCCTGTGGCTCAGCCAGGCACATCCCTGCTCACCCTGATGGGCTTCAGGCTGGAGGGCATTTTCCCGGCAGCACTGCTGCCCCTGCTCCTGACCATGGTGAGTGCTCCCGCTTTGTCCTCCTCTGGCCTTTGTTGTTAGCATCATGCGCTTTTCGTGGCCTTCCTTATCTTGATGTGATGGTTTTCCGCTGATGGGAGACAGGGATTGTGATACGGCTCCGGGGCCCTCAGGTATTCTTGGGTTGGAAATCCTTGCTGAGAAACGAAGCTTGAAGTCTCACAAGGCTGGCCAAGGGCAGTGGACTGTGATGGAAGTCTTTCCTTTGATCTCCTGTTTTTCTGATCCCAGATCCTTTTCCTGGGCCCACTGATGCAGCTTTCTATGGATTGTCCCTGTGACCTAGCAGATGGGCTGAAAGTTGCACTGGGTGAGTCCTTCAAGCTGAGGGGAAAGTAGGTAGTCTGGGACAAGGGTCAAAGTCTGGGACAATGGGGAAAGGGAATCAGTGGGCTTATGGTGTAATCTGGACATGAGACATGAGCTGTCATCTCTGGGTATGTTTCCTCATCACTAAAATGGGAACATAGAGCCCAGTAGCCTTTAAGAGTTGGTTCTTGATGTCCAAGGTGACCCCTGGGGACCCCCAGCAGTACTTGGTGTGGATCAGAAAGCAATGCCCCCTGCCTCTCCAAACTGGAGCTGGTCTTGGTTAGATTTTGATGTCTCTTTACTGCCAGGATACCTGACCTCAACTTCTAACGCCATACTTTCAGTTGTCTTAAGACATTGTTTTGTAGCCAGGTGCAGTGGCTCACACCAGTAATTCCAGCAACTTGGGAGGCTGAGGCAGGAGTATCACTTAAGGCCAGCGAGACCCCAGTCTCTTAAAAAAAGTGCTTTATGCTGGGTCTAATGAACAAAGTTTGACTGCTCCCGCCCTCCAACCCAGTTCTCAAGAATATTTGTGCCCGAGTTTCCCCAGGGTAAAATCATTGGAGAGGGATCCTTATGAAGCTATGTCTCATTGTTCCACAGCTAGTCAGTCACTGCTTATCCTGAATCCCTTTTCCAGCCCCTCGCTCCTGGGCCCGCTGCCTCACAGATATGCGTTGGCTGCGGAACCAAGTGATCGCACCCCTGACAGAGGAGCTGGTGTTCCGAGCCTGTATGTTGCCCATGTTAGCACCATGCACAGGCCTGGGCCCTGCTGTGTTCACCTGCCCACTCTTCTTTGGAGTGGGTGAGTCTGGCCAACTTGGTCCTGCTAAGATGTTCTCAGTGTGAGAGCTAAGATTGGGGCTTGTGGTGAGGAGTGGGCCTAGAGGAAAGGCCAGGAGGCATGTGACATGGTTCTCACTTTCCTCCCAGCTCATTTTCACCACATTATTGAGCAGCTGCGTTTCCGCCAGAGCAGTGTAGGGAGCATCTTCTTGTCTGCGGGTGAGTCCTGGAGAACTTGCCTGGGGCAGTCCTGGCTAGTGTGTGTGCAGGTGTCTCTGACAGGCACTCTGGAGAAAGAATTGGGAAGAGCGGGCTGTGGTGTTGGCGGGGCTACTGACCATGGGAGTTGGGGTGCAGAGAGCAGCTGTAGGTGGTGGGCAGGCAGCCATTGCCCCAGGGGGAAGGGGATGGTCTCTGGCTGATGGGTGTGCAGTGCTGGGGCAGGAAGGGTGTGCAGGTGTGGTCACTCGCAGCCTCCCGTCTCCAGCGTTCCAGTTCTCCTACACAGCTGTCTTCGGTGCCTACACTGCTTTCCTCTTCATCCGCACAGGTTCGTCCTCAGTCTCTTGTGGGTCCCCGGGTGCTCAGGGGCCCACAGGAGTGGGTGGGAGAATGGGAAGACTGTTTGTTCTAGGCATGACAAGTTCTTCCACTACAGTCCTTGATACAGGCCGAGCCAGGGCCCTCAGCCTGGTGAGGTCTGAGAGGTGGGAAGCAACAGAGCTGTGGTATGTGGGCGGATGGGCATGGCGGGTGGGGTGCTGATCTCCTGTTTCAGGAGATGAGGGTCACTTGCACTAGAAGGGCCCGAGGAGGGGGTAGGGCTGCTCCATGAGCTGCTCTGTCTCCCCTCCCCAGGACACCTGATCGGGCCAGTTCTCTGCCACTCCTTCTGCAATTACATGGGCTTCCCTGCCGTATGTGCGGCCCTGGAGCACCCACAGAGGCGGCCCCTGCTGGCAGGCTATGCACTGGGCGTGGGACTCTTCCTACTTCTGCTGCAGCCCCTCACGGACCCCAAGCTCTATGGCAGCCTTCCCCTTTGTGTGCTTTTGGAGCGGACAGGAGACACAAAGGCTCCCCTGTGCTCCTGACCTATGCTCCTGTGTACACTCCTATGAACTCTCACAGGCCCCCGAGCCCCTCCCCACAAGGGGTACTGCAGGGGAGGGGCTGGCTGGGGTCCCGAGATCTCAGGAATTTTTGTAGGGGATTGAAGCCAGAGCTAGTTGAATCCCAGGGACCAGAGAAAGGAGCAGATATCCAAAGGGTGCAGCCCCTCTTAAAAGGGGATTGAGGAACAGCTTGGAGTGAGGGGACAAGGGGCAGGTCCCAGGAGCCACACATGCCCTTCCTCACTTTGGACTGCTGCTTCTCTCAGCTCCTCTGCCCCCCTCTGCCTCTGAAAAGCTGCTGGGGGGGTTTTATTTATAAACCCCCTCCCCCAACAACTTCCCAGGGTTTTCTCATTATCTTTTTGCATCAGGACTTTGTATTGGGATATTAAAGAGATTTAACTTGGGTAACATGGCCTTGGATCTTTGGGAGTCAGTCTATATTTGGGGTCTTGTGTTAGGACTCCAGGCAGTTCTTGGGATTGTGCCCACCACCTGCCCCAGCGACCTTGAACATGGGTCTCTGGCTGTCATGGGCTTATGACTTCCTCCTTCCTGGGCCGGGGACTGCAGTACCAGGCGTGAGCCCAGTTCATCCTGGGGCCTGTGCCTTGGCTACAGAGCCAGGGAGTGGGAGCCATGGCCCTGACCCCAGTGGTGGAACCTCCAGCCTGTGTCTTCTGCCTGAGGCCTCCAGCAGGACTTCCACAGTCTACACAGCTCATTTTACACACGAGGAAATAGGTCCAAAATGGGAGAGGAACCTACTTCGAGTGACCCAGGAGTAGAGGCTCTTCTGCTTCTCCCCCTCAGACCTCTGCCCCCAGATGAGCTCAGAACAGCGTTGCAGCCCTGAGGGAGACTCTGCTGAGCAATAGGCAGCTCAGGATTCTTGCTTAGAACCTACTGTTGTATCTATTGGTCTCGTTTTTAGAATGGTTCTCATTCCCCTACCCAGGGCTTTTTTAAAAAGTTGATTCTTGAAACATTTTTATCCTTTTTTAGGTTCCATTCCAGACTCGAGGAGGTTGCCCCAAGTCCCCTTTCTTGAGGCTGGTGGTTACTTCTCCACAATGCCCCCAGGTTGGCTGTGACTGAAACGCATTCACAGGGATCTAAAGGGCAGCGTCACACACTTGCCTCCCTGGACAGCTTTCCTCTCCCCCAGCCTGTTGGGAGCAGAGGGTACATTTGGGATCTTAGGGTCTAGAGAGGACGAGGCCTGGGCCCGCGGCGACTTGCCCACTCTAGAGGTTAGGTACTGGCACCCCAAGAGCACTGGGCAGGTAGGCTCGCTGGGTGCCAGGGATGTGCATCTTCCTGTGTCTGGGGTTCTGGGTTGTGTCCCTTCCCTTCCTCACACCACCAGTCCCACCCCCAGCTAAGCAACCACCTTTCCCCTCCCCGGCCACACCTCACCTTGCCTGTGGGGAGGAGGGTGGTGCTGTAGGTGGGGTTACTGTCCCTGCAGCAGGAGAGAGCTGAGGCTCAGGATTCCCTCAAGTTGTAGGGATGGGCATGGTGAGAACCTGGGACCCTCAATCCAGTGCTCCTTCTAACCTACCAGCACCCTCGCAGCCAGAGCGCTCAGAGTAACTTCTGCCAAGTCATCACTCCCAAAGGTTTCACCACTGCCCAGAAGGTGGCTCTGTTTGTATTTACTCCTGAACTAGCTGGAGGTGAGAGGTTGGCCCTAGATTTTAGAAGGCTGGGCAGGGAGTCTGCCTACAGCCTGGGTTTCATCCCTCTCTGCCTCTTCTTAATAGCTGTGGAGTCCTAGACAAATTATTTAACTTTCCTGTCACCTGGTTTCTGTGTCCACAAGATGGATGAAGGTTGATTCCCTGAGTTAATAGATGTCACAACTTGGCTCCAATCCCCGAAATAGCTACCGTGTTTCCCCAAAAATAAGACCTACCCATAAATAAGCCCTAGCAGGATTTCTAAGCATCTGTGCAATAGAAGCCCCACCCCGAAAATAAGACCTAGTGATGAGCGTGGCTACGCAGCGCATCTGCACAACCCGTGCAATTTGTCTCGGAGCAGGAAAGAAGATGAGCAGCCCTTCTCATCTGCCCACTGGTGACAGCCACTATCCCAGAGGTGACCGGAAAGGTGCTGGTGGCCCCACCAACAAGGTCAGCTCCCCCTGTCAGGTCCCGGCCATCCTGTGGTGATGCAAGCTGAGGCTTTGAGGGGAAAGTCTCTCCTCAGTGAAGTGAGGAGCAGGATGCTCCCCTTTAGGTATTGTGTGTCCCCAGGGGAAAGAAGGAAAGCTGTGGCTGCCATTTTACTATGATGATGTTCCAGAAGACGATGACTTACCTATGTTTTTTTTTTTTTGAGACTGAGTCTCGCTTTGTTGCCCAGGCTAGAGTGAGTGCCTAAGCGGGGTCTCGCTTAGGCTGGTTTCAAACTCCTGACCTTGAGGGATCCACCCGCCTTGGCCTCCCAGAATGCGAGGATTACAGGCCTGAGCCACCGCGCCCGGCCTATATTTGAATAAATGTAGATGGTTGTACCATACCTAAAAAAAATAACATATCCTCTGAATATAAGCCGTAGGGTGTCTTCTTGAGGAAAAATAAATATAAGACCCTGTCTTATTTTCGGGGAAACACAGTAGTCCTATTTGGGGTGTTATGTATAGTAGGCACTCAACAGTGTCTTAAACAGGGCCCTGTCATCTTTGCTACCCTCTAAGGAAGAAGATATAACCTGCCCTCCCTGCTGAGTGCCATGGGCTGGGGCGAGGTGAGTTGCACAGGACCCAGCATGGAAGGCGAGGGAAAGCCAGTTTTATTAAGCGAATTTTCTAGGACCTGGAACTTAGATCTCTGCTCTCCCCCCTCCAGGAAGTAGAACCCCTACCCACCCCCCAGTTCCAAGGACCACCTGTTGTCTCCAGTGAGCATGAGACTCCTATTTGGCAAGAGATGAATGTGTGAGCAACTGTCCACCCGTAGGGAAAGGACAGATGGCTGGAGGGAATGGACCTCTGCAGGTGGCTTCTCTCCTGTCCAGCTAAGGACAGGACCTCCAGGGCCAGGCCCTCCTGCCCGCAAGCACTGGCTGGTCTGGGCCTGCCCTGGTAGCACAGCTTTGTTGAAGGCTTGGGGTGGCGATGGCCAGGCTTCCGGTCTTGGGGCAAGATCACTCAATCTCCAGGATGAGGTCGTCACCTTCTAGTGTCATGTCCTTGGTCACGTGGACCTTGCGGACAGTGCCCTCCATGGGTGAGGTCACCACAGTCTCCATCTTCATAGCACTGAGCACACACAGGGGCTGCCCCTTGGTCACCTTGGCTCCTGCTGCCACCTTGATGTCTATCACCTTCCCAGGCATGGGTGCCCCAATCTGGCCCTTCACATCCTTCAGGGCCTTGGGGTGGAAGTGCATCTCCTGCAGACGGGACAGAGCAGGCATGAGGCACAGCGGGGCTAGCCCATCCCCACCACCTGGCTGGCCCTGGGGGAGCCGCACCTTCATGGCTTGGGTGTCCTTGACCAGGATGGACCGCAGCTGCCCGTTGAGCTCAAAGAACACCTGCCTCTGGCCGGCCCGGTTCAAGTCGCTCACAGCCAGGGCTTTGATGTGCAGCGTCTTGCCCCGCTCCAGCTCCACCTGGAAGAAGGGCTTGGAGGCTCAGAGCTGGGGGCAGGTCTGGGGAGAGTAGCCCACTGACCTGGCCACAGGGCAGTCCCCCACCCTGCGTCTTGGCTCTTCACTTGTGAAGGTAACTTGGTCTCAAGGGTTTTTTCTGCTCCCCAAGTGTGCTAGGCTGGGGGATAGCCAAGCCAAAGTCTGGCACTCTGGGGCCAGGAGTAGAGTGTGGGCAACACCAGAGCCACTGACCTCAAACTCCTCTGCAATTTTGGGTCCCTGCAGGAAGAGGCGGGTATTAAGACTATCCAGGGGGCCAAAGGTGGCAGTGAAGTCCTTAAAGTGGGCAAAGACGTCAGGGTACATGGCTGCTGAGAGCACATCCTCTGGGGTCACCTCCTCCCCGTGCCGATCTATCAGCTCCTTCTCCAGGGACTGCAGGTCAAGGGGCGGGAGGGAGGCTCCGGGCCGTCCCTCCAACCTGGGCAGGTCCTTCAGCACCTGGGGAGCAAAGCAGAGGGTGAGGCCTGATTCCGGCACCCAACCCCCATAATGCTGGGCCTTTCCTACCTTGGAGCGAAGGGGCTCAGGGAAACCCCCATGGGGGACGCCAATGTAGCCCTGCAGGAACTCCACCACTGAGCGGGGGAAGGACAGCTCTTCTGCCTTAGCTTCAGCCTCTGCCCGGCTCAACCCGTTCTGTACCATAAACTGGGCCAGGTCCCCCACGATCTTGGAGGAGGGCGTCACCTAAGGAGAAGGACCCCTGCTGGTTAGGCTGCCAGGCACCTAATGGAGGCCCCTGCGTCAGGTAGGAGACGGGGCCTGGCTCACCTTGATGAGGTCGCCCAGCATCTGGTTGGCCTCCACATAGGCCTTCTTGACCTCCTTGAACTTGGAGCCAAGCCCCATGCTGTGGGCCTGGAAGTGCAGGTTGGTATACTGGCCCCCTGGGATCTCATTCTCATATACATCCGAGTTGCCAGACTTCATGGTGGCCGTGCAGTCAAAGGCAGCGTACAGTCCCCGAGCCCCCTCCCAGTACTCGCTGTAGTCAAACACTCGCTCCAGGGGCACCTCTGCAGGGAGGCCAGCATCAGGGGAGGGCTCAGGAGCACGTGGCACTACCAGACCCAGGGCTGGCTCAGGCCCCACCTCAGACTCAGGTGATAGGTGGTGGCAAGGCCATGGTAGGGTGTCTGGATTCTAGGTAAACCTGTCTACTGACAGCAATGGCGGCCGTAGCCTTGACATGGGCATGGTTGTGAGCTGTTGCTCTTCCTACCTGTATCCAGGGGAGTCCCTCGGGTACAGGCCACCAGGGCCCCCATGCTGGGCTGTGAGGTCATCCCGGACATGGAGTCGGCTGCCACATCCACCACATCAGCCCCAGCCTGGGCACAGGCCAGCATGGCTGCCACGCCTGCCCCTGATGTGTCGTGGGTGTGGATGTGCAGCGGAAGGTCAGGGAAGCGGTCCCGGAGGGAGCTGACCAGCATGGTGCAGGCTGCTGGCTTCAGCAGCCCTGCCATGTCCTGGGGGGTGGGCAGAGAGGAGATGGTCAAGAGGGGGCATGGTGAGTGCCCTCGGGGGGAGCACGTGGCGGGGCAGAGATGGACAAGTGCTCCAGCACCTTGATGCACAGGATGTGGGTGCCAGCTCGCACCAGCTCTTCAGCCAAGCCCATGTAGTACTGCAGTGAGTACTTGGTGCGGCTGGGGTCCGCCACATCCCCCGTGTATGAGATGGCAGCCTCCACCACGCCTCCCGCGCTGCCTGCTGCCTCCATGCCCAGCAGCATGTTGGGCAGGTAGTTGAGAGAGTCAAAGATCCGGAAGACGTCCATGCCGTTCTCCTTGGCCACCTCACAGAACCTGAGTGGGTGCGAGAGCCCAGGGCTGAGTCCCACACGCTGTCCCCTGCACGTGCTTTCCTGGCCTGCCCTGCTGCCCCTGGGGAATGAGATCTGGGGGTCTGGCATCCATAGGCGGGGCGAGGCTGGACACAGGAGCGTGGACAAGGCCTTTTCCAGGGCAGCCTGCACTGGGCAGAGTGGGGTCCTGTGCAGGCCACGTGCAGCGTAGTTAGCGTCTGCCCGGGCCTGGAGGTCTGGCTGGGGATTCGCTCTGTAAAGGAGTGGCGCTGCGGGAGAGGACTCAGTGAGGAGTCCTGAGGCCAGGGTTCTAATCCCAGTTCTGTACCAAGTGGCCTAGGACAAGTCATCTGCCCTCTCGGGGCCTCGACTGCCCCATGGGTGAAACAGGGTAATCTAGAACCTTCTGGTTCTGCAGCTACAAATCACTTGCTAACATGTCCAAACAGCAGCCCCTGCCGAGTGTCACCACAGAAAGATGGTTTTGAGCCCACTGTGGGGAGTGCAGGCCACTGCGATGTGGCCTGGTACCCACAGGGCCACACCTCGCAGTGTCTGCCCACCCCAGCCCAGGCTCACTTGAAGACCACATTGTCGGGGTAATTGGTGTAGCCCACGGCATTGGCCCCCCGCAGCAGCATCTGGAATGGGATGTTGGGGATGAGCTCCCGGAGCTCCTGCAGCCGCCGCCAGGGGCACTCATACAGGAAGCGCATGGCAACATCAAACGTGGCTCCTGCACAGGGACCGAGAGGCCCAGATCAGCTCCACATGTCCTGGGGACCCACCTGAGCTTCACCTTCAGGGTGCCTTGTGCTCCCAGCTCTGACCCCCACAGGTTTTTCCCTTTGCTGATCCCCCGGGTGGACCAGGCTCATTTGTGTCCTCTCTGCGCTCCCTTTACAGCCCCCACGTCCTCTTCCCTCCAGTTCTGTGCTCCAATGAGCTAACAGGCTGGCACCTCCTCCCTGACCCTGGGCCTCCCACCCAGCGCCTGGTCTCAGCTCTGTAGCCTCACGTGAGCCCAGCACCTGGCCTGCCCAGAGTGGGCACCAGCTGTGTCCACTGAACAAATAAACACTGTGCTTTCTTCAGTTCTCACACTTTGGTTTTCTCAATGTTAACATCGTTAGCTTGTCCCCAGCGGCCTGGGCCTTTGGGGCTAGCCACACAGTGGGCACATAGTTCCTGCCAGACACTAGCCAACATTCCAGCCCTCCAACTACCTCCCCAGTTTTCCATGCTGAAGAGCATGCTGAAGTTGTGGGAGACGTAGGGCGCAATCTTCTTGAGGTCATGGGTGCGCACGCGAGTGGCCAGCAGTGACTGGTGGGCATCCCTGAAGGTCGTGTCCATCAGCAGCAGGCCCTGGTGGTTCCGCACGGCTCGAGCAAAGCCTTCGGGCCCCTCCCGCAGCAGAATGTCTCTGAAACCGGCCGGGGGCGGGCCTGGGGCAGACAGGGGCATTGGCACCCATCCCGCAGGTGGCAACCTCCTGTCTCTCCCATGAGTTGGCAGAATGGATCTCACCTACCAATGGGCACTGCAGGGATAATGGGGTCCACAGGGCTGGGGCTGGTCTTGATGGGGATTGGGGTGGTTGGACCATTCACCATGACGTGTCCTAGGGAGAGAAGGGGCGGTGGGTCAGGGCAGGTGGGGAAGAGTCTGGGTTGAGAGCAGCAGTGAGAGCAGGTGGGCTCGGGGTTGGGGCAAGCCACCAGTCCTCCAAGTGGCCCCTGTCCTCATTAAAGCCAGGCCCTCCTGGGTCCAGGCAGTGGGGACTTATTGGGGGCCACATGGATGGAAAAGGGGAGTCAGATCATGAGCAAGGAGCGTGGGTGGACTAGGAGGGTGCATCAGAAAGGCTGGGATAAGGGGCAGGGGTGAGGTGTCTGGGGGGCAGAGGGCAGTCTCGGGCCAGACCGAGATAGTGTAGCAGCTTCTGGGCCCGGTTCTGCGCGGGCCGCAGCTGGAACAGCTCTGGGTTCTCGTCTATGAACTGGGTGTCCACGGTGCCTGCCAGGAACTGCTGGTTGTTGAGCACATTCTGCAGGAACGGGATGTTGGTCTGCAGGACAGAGGCAGGCGGGGGGGTCACCATGCAGCATGGACAGGAAAGGGAGAAGGGAAGAAGCTGAAGTTGCCACCCTGTGTGAAGGGGCGTTTCCCCATCTTTCGGCCTTCAACTTTCAACCCTCCCCTCATCTGGCAGAGTCCCATAAGCTGTCAGGGGCTGAGCCTGCTCCCTCCACCCCTGCCCACCCCAAAGTACGTGCTGGATGCCACCCCCTCCCACCTTCCCAGCGCTCTGGAAACACACACCTCCTCCCCTCCCTACAGCTTAGAACACGGCCAAGCCTTTCCTGCAGCAGCACAGCCTAGAGCAGCCACCCTCTCGCTGTCCCGGCCACACTTTTTGAAAGAGGCCCCTACCTCCCCCAAGCCCACGCCCTGACACTGGCTAAGTCCAGCGGGCACGCTCCCAGGCTGACGCTCTTGCCCTGGGCTTCCTCACACACCACGCTGGGTGGCCTATCCTGCGCCTGCAGCTCCAGTGACAGCTTCCATTCCCAGAGCCAAAACCCAAAGGTAGAATGGAAAAGCTCAGCAAGTCCCAAACCAGCCTCCCACCTGCTGCTCCTGTCCCCCTCAGCCTAAGCGGATGCCTCACCAGCTACTCAGTTACCAAAACCTACACCCAGCACTAGCACCATCCACTCCTCCCGTGTCACTGGTCAAGCTGGACGGTCCTATGGCCACTTCTAGACCCTATGACCTCTCCTCCATCTCCAGGCCACACCTTCCGCCGGCCTTCCTCATCATAGCCGCATCCGGCCACACCAGATTCGCCATGTGCTCTCGCCCTCCTCGGAAATGCTTCCTGGATGTCTAAACTCCAAGGCCTTTGTCCCCTCCTCTTTTCTAGTACATCCCCATGGAATCAGCTGCTGGAACCACCCCCCAGCCCCATCATCCAGTGCTTGTCTGTGTTCCTCACTTGCCTGGGAGCGCTCTGGGGACAGGGTGTCCGAGGCACTTGCATCTGTGGGCTTTGTGCACAGGGGCCCTCAGTTCTGCTAATTAAATGGCTGGGTCACAACATGAGGCTGGGGCAGGGCGAGTATAACCTAGAAGCTACACGGGGACCTGGGAGGCAGCACCGCAAGAGATGCCACATGACTGTGAGGCCACATGGCTGGGATCCGTGTGAGCACGGCACGTGGCTGTGTGGCTACATCCCTGGCTTCTGCTTCAGAGAAAGCATCTCCATGTTTTACAAGTTCTGCTGGCACCTTCATTAGGGACTCAAGGTGCAACATGGACCTCTTCGAGTGTATACCTTGTCCCCTTAGGATTCCTATCACCTGGACAAGAGAGGTGCCTCCCTCACCAGCATCCTACAGGCGGTCACTGCAGAGTGGGGCTCAGCCAAGAATGCCCTGTGCCTGTCTAGTGTGGCAGGTCTGCTTCTGAGCCTAGGCCCTGTCCCTCCTAAAGAGACGGGGACATTTCAACTGGGCCAGGGCATGGCATTTGAGAAGGGAGACAGTTAACAACCATCGAAAGAGCCTAAAGCCACATGAGGGCACGAAAAATCCCCAGAGGCCTCCCTGTCCCAGCCAGCACTTCCCTTTTGTAGGCCCTGCCTCAGTAACTGCTGGCACCCATTGTCCCCTCTGTACCCGAAGCTCCATGGGGTCAGGAACCAGGCCCATCTGGCTCCTGACTTACCTCAACTCCCAGCACAAGGTGGCACATAACAGTCGCAAGGATAAACAACTATGTTTAGAGTGTGTGGAAACATTTTTGATGGGGAGAAGAGGAACAAAGAATATCTGATGCCATCGCACATCAGTGCTGACCCGGACCAGGATCCAATCCCTTTCATTTTACAGACGGAACAGCTGAGGCCCAGGGAGTGGCAAGAGTAAGAAAGGCTTCCAGCTGCCAGGAGTTAAGCCTTTCTCCCTACCAAGCACATGAGTCCACGCAATTAATCCCCTGGCCTACATGGCTGCGGTTAAGTAACTTGCCAGGCAGGATTAGAATTCCAGTCTCTGGTTCCCCTGGGTTCCGGCCATCTGACCCCCCGGGATCGGGTCTGGAGGGAGAAGAACCAGGAAGGATGGGGTTTAGGTAGCCTGAGGATGAGACACAGGGAAGGTGGCGACTTCTGTTTTCCAGCTGGGCAGACTCCTAGTGGTGGCGGGACTAGGGTCTCAACCCCCCAAGCCCAGGCTCTCTGAGACGGGAAGCGGGCACCACCCCCACCTCACACCAGGAGCCCTTTCTCGGGGAGCTCGTCCTGGGCCGCTGTCCCAGGGAGCTGGCCCACGGGGGCAGAGGCGGAGGGAAGGGCTGCAGGAGCGCGAGAACACGGGGCTTGCGCGCCACACACACCGAGGCGGAGGCCCGCAGGCTCCGAGCGCCGCGCCGGGCGGGCGGGCGGGCGGGGAAGCCGGGGAGGGAGGGAAGAAGGAAGGAGGGACTGGGACAGGGCGGGGCGGCGGGGGCGGGGCGCCTGCCCAGAGGCCGAGCCCTGTCAGCCCCACCCCGCAGCAGCCCTGCCCGGGGCACCGCCCCGGCCCCCCCCCACCCGAGCCCCATGCCAGTTGGGGACCCTCCACGTGACTCGGTGATGCAGAACGGTTATGACCTTCAGCGTGTGTCTGTGAACGCGAGGGTCCCAGTAACAGTGCGGGTTTGCGCCCGGCCCTGCCGGTGGGTGCAGGGACGTGTGGGTGTGTGAGCGTGTGTGGGTGTGTTGGGGAGGGTGCCCAGCGACATGTGACAAAGACTCCAGTCTCTGGGAGATGGTGAAGGGCCCGCGAGCAGGCGCTTTGTCTGGCTGTCTGCAGAGTGAGGTTCGCGCCGCGGCGGCGGCGCCCGAGCGGTGCAGGATGCCGGGGCGCCAGGGCGGCCGGGGGCGCGCGCGCCTGTGCCGGAGTGAGTGCGCTGCGGCAGCGCCGGGGGGCAGCGCGGCGGGCCCGCGCCGGCCCGGGCCTCGGGCGTGACTGGGCGCCACCCGTGGGCGCTGCAGTGGTCGCGTGTCCCCGTGACCTCAGGAGGCCGACCGGGTCCGGGTGGATCTCCGCGTGCCCCTCCCCGTCCGTCCTCCACGTGCGTGTCAGCGACGCGCGCGCCAAGGCGCGCACCCGCTCGCCTGTCGCCGCCGCCGCCACCGCGAACCGTGCCGGGAAAAGGTGCTGGGAACCGAGCGAGCCGGGGCCGTGGGCCCAAGCGCCATGGGCCGGAGGGAGGGCGGCAGGCAGCCGGTCATCCCCGGGCCTCGCCCCCGCGGGAGAACGGCCTGGAGTCGGCGGGGGCCGGCCCGGCCCGCGGGGAGGCCGGCCCGCGCCCCCTGAGCGACAGACGCCAGGTGAGGGGGCTGCGGGGGGGTTGCAGCTCGGGACTCGCTGGGGAGGGGCGACGGGCCACGCAAGGGGGTTGGGGGGACACCTTCCCCATGGGGGAGGAGATGGCGCGGAGGGGGGAGGCGGGTGGCGATTTCAGGGGACGCCAGAGAAAGGAAGTTCCGGGACCCTCCCTGCGCTCGGCCCACCTCCGCTTCCTGCCTTATGCCTTACCTTGTCCCCAGCGCCTGGACTCCCCCTAACTGCTTGGGAAATGTGACCTTTACTCTGGGGGGCCTGGCCCTAAAGGCCCCAGTCTTCCCCAATCCCTGGAGGACCCCTTGGACTTCTGACCCAGTCCCTCCCCAGGCCAGGCTCTCGGAAGCTGGCTCCTGGGACAGTGCCCTGGGCACGAGTGGGCACCTGCACCAGCCCCACCTGTGCCTGGGCTGTGGCCCTTCCCTACAGGGTGCTCACCATGGCCCCACCGCTCCTGCTGCTGTTGCTGGCCAGTGGAGCGGCTGCATGTCCCCTGCCCTGCGTCTGCCAGAACCTGTCCGAGTCACTCAGCACCCTTTGTGCCCACCGAGGCCTGCTGTTTGTGCCGCCCAACGTGGACCGGCGCACGGTGGAGCTGCGGCTGGCTGACAACTTCATCCAGGCCCTGGGGCCACCTGACTTCCGCAACATGACAGGGCTGGTGGACCTGACGCTGTCTCGTAATGCCATCACCCGCATTGGGGCCCGTGCCTTTGGGGACCTGGAGAGCCTGCGCTCCCTGCACTTGGATGGCAACAGGCTGGTGGAGCTGGGCACGGGCAGCCTGCGGGGCCCTGTCAACCTGCAGCACCTCATCCTCAGTGGCAACCAGCTGGGCCGCATCGCGCCAGGGGCTTTTGATGACTTCCTGGACAGCCTGGAGGACCTGGACCTGTCCTACAACAACCTCCGCCAGGTGCCCTGGGCGGGCATCGGCGCCATGCCTGCGCTGCACACCCTCAACCTGGACCACAACCTCATTGACGCGCTGCCCCCGGGCGCCTTCGCCCAGCTTGGGCAGCTCTCCCGCCTGGACCTCACCTCCAACCGCCTGGCCACGCTGGCCCCCGACCCGCTCTTCTCCCGGGGGCGCGACGCGGAGGCCTCGCCCGCCCCCCTGGTGCTGAGCTTCAGCGGGAACCCGCTGCACTGCAACTGCGAGCTGCTGTGGCTGCGGCGGCTGGCCCGGCCCGACGACCTGGAGACCTGTGCCTCCCCGCCCAGCCTGGCCGGCCGCTACTTCTGGGCGGTGCCCGAGGGCGAGTTCTCCTGCGAGCCGCCCCTCATCGCCCGCCACACGCAGCGCCTCTGGGTGCTGGAGGGCCAGCGGGCCACACTGCGGTGCCGGGCCCTTGGTGACCCTGCGCCCACTATGCACTGGGTTGGCCCTGATGACCGGCTGGTTGGCAACTCCTCCCGAGCCCGGGCTTTCCCCAATGGGACCCTGGAGATTGGGGTGACAGGTGCCGGGGACGCAGGGGGCTATACCTGCATTGCCACCAACCCCGCTGGAGAGGCCACAGCCCGAGTAGAGCTGCGGGTGCTGGCCTTGCCCCACGGCGGGAACACCAGTGCTGAGGGGGGCCACCCCGGGCCCTCGGACATTGCTGCCTCGGCTCGCACTGCTGCTGAGGGCGAGGGGACTCTGGAGTCTGAGCCAGCAGTGCAGGTGACAGAGGTGACTGCCACCTCAGGGCTGGTGAGCTGGGGGCCGGGGCGGCCAGCTGACCCTGTGTGGATGTTCCAGATCCAGTACAACAGCAGCGAGGATGAGACCCTCATCTACCGGTGAGGATGCACGCTTTGCTCACCCCTCACTCCGGTCTGCCCTCAGCCACCCCCCCACGGCCCTCTCCAAGGTTTGCCCCTGGCTCCCCCTCCCTTGGCATGCTCTTACCACCCCCTCCCCACGCCGCTGCTGTCTCGGAGGAGCAGTGGCCTGGCCTGGCCTGGCACGGCATGGCTGTCTGGGCAGTCAGGGCTGCAGGGCTCACATGGCAGCAGGCTGCCTGGGAGGGTCTCAGGCCGCACTGTGCAGGCTCTCTGGGCGCGCGTGGTGGCTGGGGTCTGTGCTGCAGCACGTGGTCGCACACACGTTATTTCTGCCTCTGCTGGTTGGTGCGGTTCCCTGAGGGCTCCCCCCGCCCCCAGCATCCTCTTCGGCTTGTCTTGGGCCTGCATGTCAGTGTGCACACCCATCTGTCCCCTGGCACTGTCTCCTGTCCCACACACATGTGCTTGTGTCTCTGCCTTCTTGAGTGAACACGCCAGGCCTGTGTGGTCTGGGAGAAGGGGACGTTCAGAGCTGGGAGCGTGGGGTGGAGGCAGACTTTGGGGCTGCAAGGTCCTGGCCTTGGGAGGTGGGGCTGGACCCCAGCCTGGGGCTCTGACCACCTGCCTCTGCCTGCAGGATTGTCCCAGCCTCCAGCCACCACTTCCTGTTGAAGCACCTGGTCCCTGGCGCTGACTATGACCTCTGCCTGCTGGCCCTGTCACCCGCTGCTGGGCCCTCAGACCTCACAGCCACCAGGCTGCTGGGCTGTGCCCACTTCTCCACGCTGCCGGCCACACCCCTGTGCCATGCCCTGCAGGCCCACGTGCTGGGCGGGACCCTGACTGTGGCCGTGGGGGGTGTGCTGGTGGCTGCCTTACTGGTCTTCACTGTGGCCTTGCTGGTTCGGGGCCGGGGGGCTGGGAATGGCCGCCTCCCCCTCAAGCTCAGCCATGTCCAGTCCCAGACCAATGGTGGCCCCAGCCCCACGCCCAAGACCCACCCGCCTCGGAGCCCCCCACCGCGCCCCCAGCGCAGCTGCTCCCTGGACCTGGGCGATGCTGGGTGCTACGGCTACGCCAGGCGCCTGGGAGGCGCCTGGGCCCGGCGGAGCCACTCGGTGCACGGGGGGCTTCTCGGGGCCGGGTGCCGGGGTGTGGGGGGCAGCTCAGAGCGGCTGGAGGAGAGCGTGGTATGAGGGGCGGCGCCGTGCGCTGAGGCACAGGCACAGGGCGGAGGGGCCAGGGCACTGCCCGGCCTGAGGGTCCCTCCTCGGTTTTTATTCTCGGTACCTCAGGCTCCTCTGTGCACTGGGCAGGACAGGGAGCCCTCTCCTCGGTTCTGGCCTCCAGACTAGGGTAAGGGGACGGGTCCCTCTGACAGGTGCTCACAGCCACCGAGGCAGGCGCTGCAGCCACCAAGTGGGAGTCTTGTTTTTATTTATAATAAAATTGTTGGGGACACCTCAGTGCCAGTCTCTGGTCTCCTCCGGCTAGATGCCCTGGGGAGAGGATGGGACATGGGTGGCAGAGGAACACGGCAGTGGCGGAGGCAGGGCCAGTATCTTATGACCTGGGTAAGCCCAGGCCCAGCCCTACAGGGGCTGCAGGCCCGGGCAGGTTGCCTGAGCTCTGCAGGCTTCTGCACTCGAACCTGTAAGTGCACAGCGCGCCCCTTCCTGGCAGGTGGGGACAGGAAATGGTGTCCTACACCTGTAAAGCCAGGCACATGGCACTCAACATGAGCATCTTCCTAGCAGACGTGGCATATGACAGTCCGCAGGGTGCCAGCAGGACTGGACTTAGCAACAGGAGGAGGTGGGAGATGATACAGCCCTTCTGGGCAGACAAAGGGACCTGAGCTGGCAATATTCCTCTGAGCACAACTCACTAAAAAGTCCCCACTGCTCCATTGGTGACAGCCTTGTAGACCATCTCTCAGGGCATCTTCTAGATTTGTAAGATTCCATCCTAAAAGGACTGGAAAGGCCTGGGAATCACACTGCCCTGGGACCCTCTGAAAGGTTCCTGCCAGTACTGCAGGCCCAGTGAGACTGTGGCTGCAGCTGCTCCACTGACTCCCCTTGTCACTGTGCCCTGGGCTTTCCTAGAAAGATGGCCCTGGCTCTCCTCCCTGCAAGGAGACAGCTGGATAGGGGTGCATGTGGCCACTCCCCTGCTCTAGTGCCCTATCTGGACACCTGACAGTCCAAGGCCAGGGGACCCTGGCCAGGCTGCTGTGGCCTCCTGCACAATCTGCCTGGACAGTGGCTGGGCAGCATCACACCGACACACAAGTGCCCACAGGCGCAGATGGCCCTCAGCCCTCCTGAGGGTGTGACGCACGCAGGCCCTACATGAAAACACAAGGTGGGCACTGGCATCCCAGGGACGCAGAGGCGCTGGGCCTATGCCCAGCCACAGCGAACGCGATGCACGGCCACGCTGGGGTTTCCAAGGCTGTGTTCTAAGGTGCGCGTGGACATGGGTACACCTGCTCTCCAGGCGTCAGAGCCTGGTCTAAGGAAATGGGAGCAACGTCCTTGACGGAGAAGGGCAGGGGCGAAAGCCGTCTGAGGGGGTGTGGAGAGGGCACAGCGGGTGGGTGCGCAGGACGCCTGGGGACAGGAGCACCAGGACCAGTGCGTGGTGTTGGCGGAAGGCTGGGGCACGGCATGAGTCAGCAGCCTGGTCTCCGTACTCTTGGGGAGGACACGGCACCCCCAGACACCCAAAACACTTGTCCTGCTGCTGGCCCTGTGATCATGGGCCAGTGTGTCCCGTTCTCCACCTTGTAGGGGAGGAGCCAAGGTGGAGGATGCTCGTGGGCCCTCCAGGGTGTGGGACAGGTGCAAGGTCCTATGGGCCAAGGGACTAGCTTGCCGAGCAGGTAGGACCCGAGTGCTGACAGTGGGGAGAGGAACCGGAACACAACCACAGGGACCAGCCAAGACCACCAGGCCAGGGACAGGCAAGGGGTGGGGACAGCCCAGGTCATCCCATTGTGGTCATAGTATACACTGGCCAAACAGCCCCTCCTAACACGGAAGCAGCCCCAGGACACCTCTGCCAGGAAAGCCAGCCCCCGTGGCAAGCGCGGGTGGGGCACGTGATACTGCTGCCCTGGGTGCGAGGCAGGGATCCCCAGCTCCCTACAGAAGAGTGCAGACCCCCAGTGTCTGGGAAACCCCTGCTCCCTTCTCAAGGTGGGCCCAGAAGCCTCTTCTAAAAGGTCTCTGCACTGGGGCAATTGCCAGGACCAGCCACAGAGCCGCATGGACAGATGAATGTCCTAAGGGACAGCACTGTCCACGTGCTGCAACCCCACCCGGCCAAGCCTCCACACAGGCATGGGCTGCAGGAAGCTGCAGGGAGGACACCGAGGCCTCAGCCAGCGCCCAGCACAGCCTGTCCCACGGGACCCTGGAGAGGCTTGGGGAGGAGCTCCCAGTGGCCAAGGGCCGGGCCCTGTCCTCCGGCTCTTCTTGCCCTGCCATGCTGAGGGTGGCACCCACGGAACGTGTGGGCAGGTGCTGGCTTCAAAGAACAAGGCGGTATTTCCTGGCTGTGAATCCCTCTCTAGCTCCAGGTGCTAGTGACAGAGCCCAGCAAAGAGGCGGTGGGCGTGTAGGACCCTGGCAGGCAGGGCGGCCACCGCAGCCAGGAGAAGGTACGCTGAGCTGCAGACCCACCAAGGGTGGAGCCACTGCCCCTACCCCCTGCTTGCCACTCCCTTGGCTATCCTTGAAACACCTGACATTGTCACACACCAGGTCCCGGTGAGGAGGCAGCAGGGGCTGGCAGGGGGTCTGACTACACAAAGTGCCTTCATCCATGCAAGACACAGGCTTGTGCTCAGGGTGGCACAAGCGGGTGGCCCCGTTTTCCTGAAATTAATGACCTGGCTGGGCGTAGTGGCTCACGCCTGTCATCCCAGCACTCTGGGAGGCCGAGGCTGGCTGATCATTTGAGCTCAGGAGTTCAAGACCAGCCTGAGCAAGAGCGAGACCCTGTCTCTACTAAAAATAGAAAGAAATTAATTGGCCAACTAAAAAAAATATATATAGAAAATATTAGCTGGGCATGGTGGCGCATGCCTGTAGTCCCAGCTACTTGGGAGGCTGAGGCAGGAGGATCGCATGAGCCCAGGAGTTTGAGGTTGCTGTGAGCTAGGCTGATGCCACAGCACTCTAGCCCAGGCACCTGGACTCTGTCTCAAAAAAAAAAAAAAAAAAAAGAAGAATGACCTGGGGGACTTGTTCAAAACACAGGCTCTGGGGCTTTGACTCAAACCTGTGGGACCAGGGTTTCCAGTAGGGAGGCTGGTAGTATGGAACACACGCTCCAGATGATTCTGACCCCAAGGGGGCAGGACACAGTGTGGGGCTCCCCGGAACAAGACTCCTGATGGGAGGCTCACTCATGCACCAAAGTGTCTGAAGAATAGCTCTGGGGACCAGGCCAACCACAGGCATGCTGAGGAGCATGCAATGGGCAGCTCTGGTGCCCGCAGGGTCAAAGCAGCTGCGACTACGAAGCAGCTACGACGGCAGGAGCCGCTGCTCGACCAGGCCACAGGCAGGGCCGGCTGAGGCAGGGCCACGCGCCAGCCCCTCAGCAGCGATGCGAACGACCACGAACCCTCCGAGGGCCAGGGGCAAAGGCAGGTGGGCGCCGCAGCCTCTCACCTTCACGCCTCGGACACGGAACTCGGCGAGAGCTCTGCTCATCTTTGTGGCGGCCGTGGGGTGGTCTTTGCCATGGGCGATGACTTTGACCAGCAGGGAGTCATAGTGGGGGGAGATGACGGCTCCTTGGAAGGCAGAGGCGTTGTCCAGGCGGATGCCCATGCCCTCTCCGCTCCGGAACACCTGTGGGACAGGCGAGAGGTCGGGACCTGGCATGGAGGCTGCGGCCCTGACCCAGGCAGCCATGTAGGCCAACTCTCACTCGCCAGGCTTTGCTCTGTTTCTACTGGTAAACCCAGGGGTGCAACCCCTTCCCACATCCCACACAGGCCCGGCAGCCTGCTCCCTGGGATGACATGGAGGGGGCAGGGGGGAGAAGCCCTGCCAACCCTGCAGCTGTGTGCACAGCCCAGCCCGGCAGGGCCAGCCCCACCTCTGTTCCTGGGGCCAAAACCCTCCAACCTTCCGCCTGCCCGACCAACCCTCTTGCATCCATTCATTCGTGTGTCCCTTCATTCCTGTGTCACAGGGATGCAGTGTCCACTGCAAAACAGATGCTGCCAATCCAGACACTGACAGAAGTCCCTGCTGACTCGGGGCTCCCAGATAAGAATGAAATGCACAGACTGGCGCAGGGACACTTAGTGAGGACAGCAGACTGGGCAGGCTGGCCAAGGGGTTTTGTTTCTAACATACGGGTGACGGGGAAGGCCTCGGCACCCACCCACGCCCTGTCCTTCCCTCTCCTTGCAGGAGTGGGCAGACGGGGGAGGCGGCGAAGGAGGAAGCGGATAGGTACGGAATACCGAGGGCAGAAGAGTGCTGCATGCGGGAGACACCCGGGTGTGGGGGCCCCAGCTGCCCTGTCGCAGCTCAGACGCAAACTGGGAATGCGAGTGGGTCAGGGAGACCCACGGACATGGATGGAGGTGGCGGGGAAGGCAGCTCTGTGCAGGGAGACAGGCCTGGGGTATGGGGGGTGGCACTAACACTTGCACACGCGGTGGCACTCATGACAGCCCTGTGGGGAGAGCAAGCTCCCGCAGGGAGAGCCTCCCCAGGGGTGGGGGACCCTCCAGGTACACATAAGGAAGACGGGGAGTCAGGAGACAGCCCAGAAGGGCTCGGGACACCCACTGTACCATGTTTCTGCTGCTAAGGGGCAGAGGCCTGTGTTCAATAAAGAGGAACTTAATAAAATATTTAAGGGTGAACGCTCAGCTGTGAGCAGGAACTGTCAGCTAAAAATACTCCGTGGTAAACCAGGCCCGAGGAACCAGGCTTGGAAGTGGGGGTGGAGGGAGCAGAGAAGCCGGCCGCCGGGCAGCTCGGCCTCAGGCTGCCCCCACCTGCAGGCTCTGATCCTTCCAGAAATGGATGTGGGCGGCCAGCTCCCTGCTGTTCTACGAGCTCTGTGACTTTCAGAATCCAGAGCACCCCATCCCTGCCCCTGCCTTGGTGTCCCCACCAGACCCTGGAGCCTCTGCCCTGGACTCTAGGGCAGAACCTGGCTCCCCAGTGTCCCGCCTCCTCAGGGGTTCAGGCAGATGGGGACGCAGTCACCAGAGGCTGGCGGGTGTTGCCGACACACAGGACCCAGGAGGCAAGGGGCACGGGCACCTGAGTAGGCCGAGGCCTCCTGCCTGCAGCTGGGAAAAGGGGACAGGGAGCTTTCAAGGACCACCTGGCTGGGCCCTGGTGCTGAGAGGAAGCCTCCCAGAGAAGGCACAGGTCCTACCGTGCCCGGAGCCTGCCCTGACTCTGCCCTGACCCTGCTCCGG